GTTACAAGTAGAACAATTGACAATCGGCTGCCCGGTTAATTTGAGGGGAGGGGCGCCTTTCAAATCGATTTTTAGTCGATTCGTCCGCTCCAGAACTTTTTTGTGCTTGCTTGGGAATGGGATAGGATCCGTATTCAAAGTAACCCTCCCCCGGGGAAAACTGGCAACAGAGTGAGTTAAGGATGATTGTGGGCCAGTTCTTGGTCATGCTGTTTGGTATCTCAGTTTCTCACAGAAATTTAACAGATGCCTACTGATTCCTTAGAGAATAGCAGAATTTATTCAGGCAAAAGCTTCCGTGATGCAATGCTCACTTCATGAGATACACGCTGTGTGCAAAGTTTACTGCATACTCATAAAAGTTTACCTCAAATGTCATAACTTTACCTCCGTAGGTAAAGATATGAGTAATAGAAGCACAGGAGTGGGAAGATGTTACAAACCTAAGCCAGTCTGAAACCCTAACCAAAGAGAAACAAAAGTGACCTCCATGTCTGAGAGGAGTGAATGGAGAGTGTTAGTCTTATTTTCGACATTTATTGCTTACCTTCTCCATTCCAGTGTATCTGAAGAAGATGTGCCTGCACACAAAAGCTCATACCTTGAATAAAACTTCATTGGTCTTAAAGGTGCCACTGAACTCTAAATTTGTTCCAAAGAGAAATCAGTCCATTCAGAGGGGTTACGGAACATTCCTAACTCTAGAAGACGGGCAGAGTACAATAAACATAAAATTTAATCCAGGAAGGTGGAACACGATAAGCAAAGATAATTAACATCTGTAAAAAAACAAAGTTTGAGTCCCGTGGCACCTTTAAAACCAACAAAGTTTAATTCTGGATGTAAGGTTTCGTTTGCACACACACTTCTTCACCTGAATCTGTGAAGGGTTTGTGATGCTGAGCTTATTGACATCTGGAAGAACAGGTTGAGTCATGCAGAGAAGCCAGGAGGAAATGCGGTTGGAATCTATTTAGGAAATCAGGTTTTACATCTGCTTGCTCCAACTGTGTAAAGGTAAAGGTTCCCTTGCTCGAAAGCCAGTCAAGTCCGACTCTAGGGTTGCGGTGCTCATCTTTGTTTCAAAGCCAAAGAGCCAGCACTGTCTGAAGACATTTTCCGTGGTCATGTGGCCGGCATGACTAAACACCAAGGCGCACGGAACGCTGTTACCTTCCCACCGAAGTGGTCCCTATTTATCTACTTGCAATTTCTTGCTTTCGAACTGCTAGGTTGGCAGGAGCTGGAACTAGAGATGGGAGCTCACTCCGTCATGCGGCACCCGGGTCTCGACTACTGACCTTCGACAGCCTGCAGTTCAGCGTCTTAACCACTTGAGCCACCGCTGCTCCCTCTGTACTCCAACATTATTTGTACCAGTAATTCTGCATGTCTGTACCCACAAACACATAGTAAAAGGTGATTTTGAGGCTGAGAGGTGAGCTGATATCATTTCAGCTCTAGGCAGAGAGTGGAAAACCTGAACGGACGTTCTAGTCCCAGGTGGAGTTATCAGTGTGGCTATCTGACAGTGTGATCCTCTGCAGAACTAGTCCAGTCTAAGCTCACCCAAATCAGTGCACTGTAAAATGCTCTGGAATGTATGGCTCTTTAAAAAAAAAATCAACATTTTACTGCCCAGAAAGGATCCTGAACTTTAGAATGGGGCCAGTAGGTGTGTTGGTACAGCACTCCATTTATTGCTATTTGGCATATTTAGGATGGGAGATTGTTTCTTGCCCAGCATGAAATAATAAAAAAGGATTCCAGCTGAGTGTTACAACAGTTTCTCTTTAATCTTATTAAAATATAATTAAATAGAAAGCAAAACAAGAAAAAGACAAAGTTAACACATTTATAGCTGTATTTTATTAATGGAAGTTAATGACAAAAGCAGAATTAATTATTAGAAAATGACAATGTATCCACCTGGACTGAATTGAGACCAAGGTTTCCTGTCTCATCACCAGTGCTGATTTCTCCATCTGATTTCTCTCTGTATATCACACCTAATCATTTGTCATTTGCCTGCTAATATCATTTGGCATCAGAAATCACTCCACTTTCCAGTATATAGGACAGATGGACTCCTATTCTAGCTGTATCTGAAGAAGTGCCACAAGTTTTGTTAGTCTTTAAACTGCTACTGGGCTCTTACTCTTTTCTTCATCTACATGGAATACATTTGTTGTGCATACATTTAGAGGTTTCCCTATTGTGCTGTATTGGCTAGCTGATGTAACATATTCTTTCTGTGAGTTCCTTAAAAAAAAAAAAACCCTTGCGAACATTGTTTTACAATGATTTGCGGTTTTAAGCAAACAAACTGAATTGATTAATATGCACTAGTCACTATAAACACATTACTAAAACAATCGAGTCAATATTAATCACTATAAGGTATACCTAAGACAGCAATTAAAAAGTTATTACAAGAATAATAGTTGATAATGTTCCTGGGGGTTAGCAGTGTTAGCCTGTTGCAGGTCTAGGCTCCCAAAAGATTTATTGTGACATACACATGCAGGGGTTAGGACCCCTTTAATCAGATGTTCAGAACATTCGGTTAGGTACATATGTGCATAGATTTTTAAAATGTACTTCATTTCTACCTTGCCTTTAGGGTTGCCAGGTCTGGGTTGGAAAATACCTGGGGACTTTGGGGGTAGATCCAGGAGAGGGTGGGGTTTGGGGAGGGGAGGGCCCACAGCATGGTACAGTGCCATAGAGTCCACCCTTCAAAGCAGCCATTTCCTCCAGGGGAGCTGATCTCTGTCAGCTGGAGATCAGTTGTAAAAGCAGGAGATCTCCAGGTCCCACCTACTTGCCTTCCTCCACAGTGGGGACCCAAAGCAGCTTACATTGTTCGCATTTTCTCCATTTTAGCCTCACAACAACCCTGTGAGGTAGGTTGGGTTCAGAGTGTGTTAAGTGGCCCAAGGTCCACCCAGCAAGCTTCCACAGCAGAGTGGGGATTCACACCAACACTCTATCCACTGTACCACACTGCCTCTCTTGCATGGATATAAAAGGAAAAAATGTATGCAATGGAGTCAAAAGATAGTGAAATGCAGGCATTATCTGCTGTGTATATGCTTACTGTGCCACAGTCTGTAGTGGTGTAGATTTCCCCGCTCTCTTATCCTTTAGCTGTGTTTGTACCTATTGTTCAATTTAGGGCTCCCTGCAGCTGACAAAATGGCTTTGGTCTGTGGAAATCAACCCTTCTAAATTGCAGGCAACCTACACACAGCCAATTTCAATTTTTTAAAAAAATACTGCTTTAGGAGAGGGGTGGAGCTTCTCTTCCACATACAGGTTGCATCCAGGGTTCAGACCCCAGCATCTCCACAGATCAGGTAACAGGTGATATACAAGACCTCAGGCCGGGCCCCTGGAGAACCCCCCTCCCCAGATAATATTGACCTTGATGGACCAAGGGCTTGACTCAGCAGAAAGCAGATTCATGCCCTTTCCTCATTTCGGTTCTTACATGACCTTCACTGCTTGGACAGTATTAGCAAGGGCTTTCAGCCAGCAGAAAGGTGACTGAACCCTCCAAGCAAGGCGGGAGACAAACGTCGAATCTGCATTTGCATTTTAAAATCAGTTTCGTGCTTCTGTGACGCTGTCTTTCTCGTCTCGATGCTTATTTGAATGTTGTTTGGAGAAGATTCTTTTAAAGCAGTGCAGAGGTGCAATGACAGTGGAGCCGCCTGAAAGTACAATAAATGTATGTGGACGTGCAAAAGTATGCTAGCACTGTTGAGGTGTGAAAACGACACCAAATGTAAACAGCTTTTTTGAAGACGGAGTCAAAAGACTGGGACACAGGTGGGAAAGACAAATGCAGATTCGGCCAAAGACAGCCATTTGCTATGATACAGGCCCATAGCTACAGTGGGGCATCTCAGGGCTATGCCCCCTGTCTTACTGGCAAGGCCCCACAAGTTCCCATCCAGCCCAAGGCCCTAAGCAGTGGTGAGTGCAGGGAATGAGCCAGGTATTCCTGCGCAGCTGCCTGGCGCAAAGGGCCGGCTGTGGTGGCAGTGCAGAGCCAGACAGCACCTGTTTCCCTCAGAGAGTCGATTTAACTTTAATTAAATTACCTCTAATTCGATCAGCCAGTGTCCCCTGAGAAATTTAAACGCCCCCGACAAAAAAAATATTCTTCTACCATGTGCATTTTTATCCAAATCAGGAATGGACCCACGGCTTTTCCAGAATATCCTTCTACCATGTGCATTTTTATCCGAATCAGGAATGGACCCACGGCTTTTCCAGCTTGCTCTCGCTCTCACACACATACATTTGTTGTTGTTCAGTCGCACAGTCCGACTCTTCGCGACCCCATGGACCAAATCACGCCAGGCCTTCCGGTCTTCCGCCGTCCTCTGAAGTGTGCTCAATTTCATGTTCGTTGCATCGATGGCACTGTCTAACCATCTCATCCTTTGCCGTCCCCGTCTTCTTTGACCTTCAATCTTTCCCAGCATCAGGGTCTTCTCCAGTGAGTGCTCCCTTCTCATTGGGTGGCCAAAGTATTTGAGCTTCAGTTTCCTTATCTGGCCTTCCAGGGAACAGTCAGGGTTGATTTCACACACATACATACACACGGGCAAACTTGGACAGGGCTTTTGCGCCTTCTTTTTCGCCTACAGCAGCGGCCTGCGGTTCTCACGCGGCTCCATCCGGTTTATCTTCCGTTCTCCTGGGGTAGCAGGCCGAGCGAGCGAGTGAACGTTGCCTGCCTGTAGACGGGGCAGTTCTGCCACTCCGGGCGCGCCTCCTTAACTCGCTCCTCCCGACGCTTCGGCCTGCCCCTGCCACCGCCGGCCAGGCAGACTTCGGAGCCGGGGGCGCGGTTTGTGTACAGGCCCGCCCCCGGTTTACTCTGACTTCAGGGCGCGGGAGAGAAACCGGACCGAGCTGCTGCGAGTCACGGACGCATGTGCAGAGCGGGTCTAGTGGAGAAGGTAGGAGGAAGTTTCCTGCTGGAGCCGGAGAAGTTTACTGGGTGCTGCCGGACCTTCCAACCGTCTTCTGTCCTGGTTGTGGTTGTAGTGCAGTGTGGTGAGGAGCGAGAAGGTGAGGTGCTCCGTCTCATAGGATGGTGGGAGTTTCGGGATGGGGAGAAAGATGAATGCGGGGAGGATAGGTAGAGGGACCGGAGGGGCTGGGGAGGGGAAGACCCCCGACTTTTGAGGAAGAATCTAGATGGTACGGGCTAGTGGGGCTTTGTGGGGTTTTTTTTGAAACTTTTAAACAGGCTTTAGGGGGGCGCAAGTCAAGAGGGTTTATTTCTGCATTTATTTCTATCCCACTTGTCTCCCCAATGGGGAACCAAAAGGGCTTGGGACTAGGGTTGCCAGCTCCCGGTTGGGAAATACCTGGAGATTTTGGGGGTGGAGCCTAAAGATGGAAGGAATTTAGGGAGGGAAAGCGCTTCAGTCGGGTCGAATGCCATAGAATCTACCTTCCGAGAGGCCATTTTCTCCAGCTGAACTAGTCCCTGTTGCCTGGAGATCAGTTGTATTCCCAGGAGATCTCCAGCCACTACCTGGAGATCGGCCACCCGACTTAGGACATCACACTCCCCTTCTCCATTTCAGCCTCACAACCCCAACCCTGTAAAGTTGCCAAACTCCAGGTGCTGCCTGGAGATCTCCAGTGATTCCAACTGATCCTCAGGCAACAGAGATCAGTTCCCCTGGAGGAAATGGCTGCTTCAAAGATGCACTCTATGGCATTATAGTCTCCCCTTCTCCAAACCCTGCCTTCCCCAGGCTCTACCCTCAAAATCTCCAGGTATTTCCCAACTCAGAGCTGGTAACCCTACAACCCTGTGAGTGAGGTAAGTTGGGCTGAGAGAGAGAGTGACCTGTCCAAAGTCACCCAGTGCTCTTCCATGGAAGAGAGGGGATTTGAACCCAGGTAGACACTCTGTGCACTACACCACCCTGGCTGTGGAATTGACTTGAGTAGCTAGTGTGTGTGTTGGACATGCATCCTAGCAATGGTTTGGCTTGCTTACTTGAGAGACCTGGGGCTATGTCCTGTGCAGTGCTTGCATTGCGTTGATCTTGTGGGGGAATGGTAAGGGGGTCTGGGCTTGGGGCAGGGAGCTGGCCTTTTGAACCCTTCAGAATTCTTGGGGAATGGAGAGAAAATGGCTCTTCGTGTGTGAACAGCTGTGGGGAGGGGGGCATGTTGATCAACAGTATGAATGACCAAGGATGGGAGAGAAGGTGTAAGGGTGACAGAGAGGGATTGCAGGAAGGAGACCGCAGGAAAGAGACTGATCCAGCATTTCTCACCGCTTCCTCGCACTCCCGCCGGCCTTGCAGGTCCTCCGCCGGGCCCCTGATGTCAGGGGGTGTGGCATATGCTAATGAGTTATGCTAATGAGTCCCCCTAGCTCTTTTTCTACGAAATGACCCCTGATCAACAGTATGAATGACCAAGGATGGGAGAAGGTGTAAGGGGTGACAGAGAGGGATTGCAGGAAGGAGACTGCAGGAAAGAGACTGATCCAGCATTTCTCACCCTACCCCACAGTGATGGAAGATGGGCAGAACTTTGAACTCTCCACATGTCTCTTGCAATGTCCCCTCTAAGCTGTGGAGTCTCGTGAGCAAAAACTACTTTGTGACCTACTGGCATTAAAGTTGTGAGCGAGCCATTTGGCTGCTGTATAAATTAGTTTGCTCCGGAGCCAATCCTTCCTGAGCTAAGACAAAAAAGTGTGAGACGGAGGTTAAAAAACTGTGAGCTAGCTCACACTAACTCAGCTTAGAAGGGAACATTGGTCTCTTGTCATCTTTACAGGCTTATGGCAGGCAGCCCGGTCCCACACAGGTCGCGGGAGCAGGTGAGAGAAGAGACCCAGCGCATCTTGGAAGCATTCTTACAAAGAGCACTGAGCCCCAGAGACACAGGTCCCCCGGGTCATGTGGGCCGCACCTACCATGACCCCCAACGTTACATATACAGGTAACAGGTGTTGGTACAAACTCCTGACTTCCCTGTGAAGGGAAGTGGACACAGGAAATTACACAGTCTTCGACCTGGACTGACTGGAATGAAAGTGGGTCCTGCCCTGTGAAGTTCTGGGTTGGGATCTGGAAAGCCTGGATTCTCCAGCAGAAGAGTGAGTCAGAAGAGCCCTGCAGTCTGGAAGTGTTACCTTGGAATCTTTCTGAGGAGAAAGAGTTCTGCAATCTATTGCTGGGGAGGAAGGGAATTGGGGAGCTCGGAAGCCTGGCTTCTTTGGGCAGGGATGGGATATACTAAAGGCTCTGTTGTGTGTGTGTAAGAAAGTGCATTTTACTGTGAGTCAGGCCCCATAGCCAGGATTTTGTGGCTTGTGGGGCAGAAATGTTTCTGGTGGGGCTGCCATTATTTGCCATAATGAAGGGGTTTTTTTTGCACACTCCTCCCCCTCCCCTCCTGCAAGCATTAAAGGGTCCTTCAGCTGATCAACGGGGAGCATGTGGTCTACCATTCGGCTGAAGGGCCCTTTAAATCTAGCAGGAGGGGAGGGAGAGGGGAGCACACCTCGCACTGCTTCTCAAAAAGATTTAAAGAATCCTTTTAAATGCTTTGGGGGAGAAGGGGCTGGCCCTTTAAGGAAGGGGGCAGAGCCCACCGAAGCTATGGGCCAGCCGTGAGTTCGCCAGGAGCCTGGCTCAAGGTGTAAGCCCGGTCTCATGATATCGTCTAGTTGTATGATTTCAGAAGTTACTAAAAGGATGTGTGTGTTTTCATACTTGTGAGAGAATTTATATATGTGTGATAGGATCGGGATGGGGGTGGTGCAAAGTTGGCTCCAGGTTTGGGGGAGGGGCTACGGCAAGGTTGCCCTCTCCAGTGTCATGTTGCCGCCCAAACACCACGACCAGGCTAGGGCTTATTTTTGGGGTAGGTCTTATTTTCGGAGAAACGGGGTATGTGGGATAGGATTGGGATGGGGGTGGTGCAAAGTTGGCTCCAGGTTTGGGGGGTGGGGCCTACGGCAAGGTTGCCCTCTCCAGTGTCATGTTGCCCCCCAAACACCACCACACATGCACACCTTCTCGGAGGCCGAATCAAAACAAAATTCCTTTGTGTTCCCTTAGTCCTATTGTCACCAGTGCCTTTCCACACATTGATTTCTAAAAATTTGTCCTTACTGACAATTTGTTTTTTTTATTAGATTTATTACTGTTTTAATTGTGAACCGCCTTAAGGAGGTCTGGGGAGGTGACATGCCCAGGGCTTTTTTTGTAGAAAAAGCCCAGCAGGAACTCATTAGCATAATAGGCCACACCCCTGACAGCACAGCTCATTGGCATATTAGGCCACACCCCCATGTTACCAGAAGTGTGCTCATCCACCTTTTGCTTCTTATTCTGTTTACCCAGGGCTTTTTTGTAGCAGGAACGCCTTTGCATGTTAGGCCACACACCCCCTAATGTAGCCAATCCCAATGAGTTCCTGCTGTTGGGTGTGGCCTGTTATGCTAATGAGTTCCTGCTGGGTGAGGCCAACTTGGAAGCCAGCCAGAACTCCGTTCCTGTGCGTTCCTGCCCAAAAATAGCCCTGGACATGCCCATTTTCTAAATCAATAATTTATCACATCCTTCTGAGTTCACTGATTTCGGTGGCGCTGGAAGGGTGTAACTCTGCTTAGAATGGTTGGTGGCGCTAGAAGGGTGTAACTCTGCTTAGAATGGCGCTGTTAAGGGGGGTACCCGAAGAGTGTTCCTCCTAGATGGAAATGGTAGATTTGCCCCAACAGCCCCTGTGACCACCACGCAATCTCCCGTTGCTGGCAGAAATGAATGGGCTAATGGTCCATGGTTGGTGGGTGGGTCATCTGCCCAGCCATAGGTCTGGGTAGCTGTCTGACCACATGAGCCCTGGGGTGCCATGGTAAAAGTTTCTCCAGGCCTGGAGAAGTGAGGTTCAGGGCTCAGATGCACCAGGCTGGGTGGGAGGGTGAGGAGCCAGTACTCCGTGATTCTGTTACCCTCTTCCATTGCAGGTCCCCAACTGAACATGGCCCCCACTGCCCAGCCTGGACCAACATCCACGAGGAGATCAACCGCGCGGAAGAGAGCAAGCATGGCTTCCGGACCAGTATAAAGCGGCTGTTGCGGCGGAAGCCTAGCCCCCGAATGCCCCCCGATGGGCCCCCTCCCTCCAAGGACTCCTTAAAGCGGTCCAAGTCTGGAGGGGAGGGAGCCCACCAGAAGCGCACCTTCTCCTTCAAGGGCCTGCTGCGGAAGAAGGGAACTCCTTCAGGGGTGACGGGATGCCCTGCTGAGCCCAGTCAGCGCCCTGACTCCTTGCCTCTAACCCCCTGCTACTGTGACAAACTCCTGGCTGGCCAGGAGCCCCAGCCAGAGCCCCAGGCAACCAGTAAGGAAACAGCAAACCTTGTCGCTCCTAGTTGGAATTCTCCTTGCCTCCCATGTCTCACCCCTAACTCTGGGAAAGCTAGAAATGTAACCATGTACAAGTGGGTACTTGCGAGGACTCGCGGGGAAGGGGAAATCCCACTCTGTCCTTTACCAACATCTGTTCCACACCTGCTGGCTCTGTTTTCCCACTTGGCAGCTTATACAATTTCTCTTATCATCTCCTAGCTGCCTCTGTTCCTCCCCCCATTTCCCTGTTGCCACTTCCTCCCCCCATTTGTTTCTTAAATTCCAGCCCACATTGTACTAGAGTGGCTGTCTGGGTTTGGTGTTTTGATTCCAGGGCATGTTATTCTGAACAGGCTTCAGTTGCACTCTGAAGGGACTTTGGTTGGCATAACTTAGGACTTCATTATAATTTGGTGAGACACATGGCGTGGAATTTGTTATGGAGTTCAGGGTATGGTGGGGGGGACATATGATCCAGCCACTTTGCCAAACCTGATTGCGTTTGGATAGGTGAGAAAATTACCTTCCCGATCTTTAATTCCATAATGGAAAAAAGTCTTTTACATATGCCTGCTATCCTAGGCTTCTGCATTCCTCATGCTCTTAACAGGAAGCCCTGGTCTGTATTCTCTTGGGCCACAAAATGGAATCTGTGCCCTTCAGAAGAGTATGTTTTTTGCCCTGACCTGGATAGCCCAGGCAAGCCCAATCTCGCCAGATCTCGGAAGCTAAGCAGGGCCAACTCTGGCAAGTACTTGGAAGGGAGACCTCCAAGGAATACCAGGGCTGGGACGCAGAGAAAGGCAATAGTAAGCCACCTCTCTGAAATGTCCGAGTCCCACTAGGGGTCGCCAAAGTCAACCATAACTTCCAGACACACACACAAAATACCAGGAAAACCCCCCAAACAGTGGCTTTTTTGGTAGCGACATCTCAATTATGACCTGGTTGAAAAAGGACCACTGAAGCCTAACAGATACTTGCAACCTTAGCTGTACTTTAGATATTTAGGCAGATACTTTATACCAAAAAGCCTTCCAAGTTACACAGATCTCTTCATCAGATAGTTACTGCTTAATTATGCTTGCATGTGTGTGTGTGTGTAAATAGGGTTTTTCAACGCAAGAGATGTTCAGATGTGGTCTGCCACTGTCTGCCTCTGCATAGCAACCCTGGACTTCCTTGGTCGTCTCCAACTACTAGCCAGGGATGATGACCCTGCTTAGCTTTCAAGACCTGAAGATCTGGCAAGCCTGGGCTATGTGTTCCCATACTGAAGCAAATATTTTAGAAAGTTTGCTGCCTATAGTGATCAAACCCAGTCTATTTTACCTCTTCAAATGTGCACAATGGGAGAACTACAGCCATTCACAGCAACCTGGTGCTCTCAGTCCAGGTAGACTGCTTTTCCTTTTTGCCCGTTTAGAACGGTGCTTAACTCCAAAGTGTTCCTGTCCTTTCATCAACGATGGAAGGAAGTGGTATCACTTTATTTCTTCCGCATCCCTTAGTTACTGGGGAGCAACACAGCAAAAGACTGTTAGTAAAGAATGGGGCTTTCTGTGGCTCTAACTTTTCCCTAGAAGTATGGGGGGCTTTCTGTGGCTCTAACTTTTCCCTGTCCTTTATTCCAGATAATGAGGCAGAAGAAACTGAGTTTTATACGCGTGTGGCTCAGAAACTGGACCAGTTGGTAAAGCAACAGCAGCTGATCAGTCCTTCCACTGGAAAAGGCTTGCCTTCTCCTACAGACCGGTTCCGCTCTCTTCCCACAAATGCTGTATCGGGCACTGCAGGTACTGGATTCTTCTATGTCTGTGTCTCTGTACCCACCCCTCCTCCTCCAAAACACTCCTTCTAAGCAGCAGGGCTTGCATTAATCCCTCTTGCTTCATAGCCCAGATGTGTTACAGACACAGGTTCCCATCCTTGCTTGAGGCTGCAGGCAGTTTTGGAATATTGACAAGGGAAAGCAGACACCTCTGCAAGCAAGCAGGGCAATCACAAAAGGGCCAATCGCAAAGTGTTGGGGGGGCTCCTGGCCAACTGTCCTCCTGTGACAGAGGCAGCCGCTTCCAAATGGGTGCTCTTTGCAGATGCAAAGGCTCTTGTAAAGAATCTCCTGCACTGAAGAGGTGATGGAAAGCCACGATTGCTCTTTGCTTTGAAGAAGAGATGCTGTTTGGTTTCAGTTTCCAAAGCAGGGGGCAGAGGGAAAGGCTTCCAGGCACAGAAGGAAGAAACTCTGGTTCTATGGCCGAGCTGAGGGCAGACAGCTGTAGCACACCTGCCCAGAATAAGCTCAGCATTTTGCTAACTAGGTAGGTGGCTGGGAAGAACCTGAAGCTCCCTGAATTATCTCCCCCCCCCGCCGTTCCATTGAAGACATTTGGGATTTCTTTCCCAAGATTCAAGAAGCAGGTGGGCACCGGGAAACACATTGGTGGGCACCACAGTGTCCCTGGGGGTAAGGTTGCCAGGTACCCCTGGCCACTGGTGGGGGATGGGGAGGTAGGCTTGCCAGATACAAGTTCAGGAGTAGAGCCGGGGGAGGACAGGGAGATCAGTGGGGTATAATGCCTTAGAGTCCATCCTCCAAAGCAGCCATTTCCTGCTAGGGAACTGATCTCTGCAGTCTGGAGATGAGCTGTAGTTCCAGGGGGTCCCCAGGTCCAACCTGGAGGCTGGCATCCCTACCTGTGGGCCATTGGGTCATAGAGATTAGGACCTCTCCCGTCCTGTGCTCTTGATAGCACCCCTTGCTGGTTTTTTAGTGACAATGAAGGGAAACCACTGGAGTGGGGAGACTGAGAGTTCATATTTAGGTTCAATCTGATTAGGAATTCTCTAAACACAGGATCCGTGCACCTCCTTGAGGATAATAACTACCACCATTCCATGAGAGTCTACTTTGGATTTTTCCCTTATCATACTAATATTGCATTTTGGAATTGCACTGGGGTTGACTGTTGCCCTTTCCACTCTCAGCTAATTCGCTTGAGCTGCAGGGAGGCATGAGTGAGAAAGAGCAAGTCCTCCAGAAACTGGTCGCCCTCCTGGAAGAACAGGCCGGAATCATCAACAAGGAGGTAGCTGCAGAGTCACGACAAACAGGCCGGGCGGGCTGAACACTTGCTTCTGTTTCTAATCTCGCCTCGGCTCTTTTTACCCCAAGCAAACTCACCTGATCTTGGCCTCTGTGGACTCCTTTTCTGTACTGCCAGGCTGATCTTTATGTCTCGAGTAGCATATCCTTTGGAGAACAATCCTTCAAAAGTCCTTGTGGTGGCGTGATGTCCTTTGGGGGTGAGGGGACTTCCTACCTTGGGTCTCGAAACCACCAGCCCAGTCACCGCTTCCTTGCAGAGATGGTTTTTATTTTCCATTGACAGCTCCAGATACCCAAGGGTGTGGTTTACTTCACCCACTTCAGCATTATGATAATACACATTATAAAGGAGAAGAGCCACAATACTGTAGCCTTCCTCTTTGCCTAGGAACCTTCCTGAGACATTTCCCCCTCCCTTCTCCTATACCTTCTAATTCCAGCCAGCCCCTTCCATTGCCCTTTCCTCTCTTTTTATAGCCCCAGCACCACACCTGGCCCTTGAGTTAAGCTCCACCCTCCTCTTCTCTGTTCCCTGCTCTCCATAGCCACACCCTGCCTTAAAACACCTGGGCCCAGAGCACCATTGTTCTTCCATCCAGGTTTGCTCATGGCCTCCGTACCGTGTGAGTTTCCCTGGGACAGACTGCCAAAGCTTTTCTGTTGCTGAGACTACCATAGCTGTACCCTCCTTCCCCTGCTCCACCCAGGTGAATCCTGCTGTGGGGGTGTGTCCTATACCACCAGGTGGGTCATTGCCAGGTGGCCATGATGATTCTCTGTCATGCAAGTCAGCCTCAAGTCTTTCTGTAACAGCCTTTCTGCTTACCTCTTTCTTGTCTGAATCCCACCTGCAAGCCTGCTGCTTCCATCGAATCTCTCAGGTACAGTAGGATCTCTGCTTTTTGCATTATTGCTGCTCTTGTTCTGCCTCTCCCACTTGTGAACCTGCTCATCACCATAGATCTGCCCAGCATCCTCTGCTTATCGGTTCTGCCACTTCCCTTTTACCTACCTGGCCTTTATCCAAGATCTGGCCATTTCTTGTGCAGCCGTACGAAACAGACTGCCTAAGGTTTTGTGGCAGACTTCGTCCTCACTGTCTTTCAGGAGGGTATGTTAGCCCTTTCTTTTTCAAAGGACTTCCTGAGACTCCATGGAGGGTAATTAGTTTTGTGTTACTGTCTAGTGAAGTTGCTGTTTTGAGAGGAGGAAAGCCATTTTCTTTTGGTGGGTAGTTAGTTTATGGTGGAAATTGTGGGTTTGTTTTTTTCAAAAAAAAGTTTTGAACTGGTTTTTCCGTTGGATGGTTCAATGTTATTCCTTGATTTTAGTTGTTAGCTGCAGAAAGCCATTCAATGGTAGGGAACACGTGTTTTCAAGGAAGTTCTATCAACCTCATCCTTTCCCTTCCCTTTGTTCTTGTTTTATACAAGCTTGGCAAATAAGTTCACAACAGTTACTCATCTACAAAATGCTTTTGCTAATGTGCCTGCTTCATGCTGGCCTGTATCTGTGATCTAACAGTTATCAGGGATTTTTTAAAAAAGGAATCCATTCTCATACAGGATTTCCAGCTTTCGACCAGCCCATTTAGCTGTGTCTGTAATAGTTTGATTTCCAGCAGTTATACCAATGATCATGTTGAACTGCGCCATGAAAAAAACCTTCACTTTTTGATTCTGGGATATCAAACCGGTATTACAAAGACAGAACCAAGCGGGGGTATTGTTCCTTCCAATCCCTGGCCTGTTGTAACTCAATTCCCATTTACAAAAGCAAATCTGCTGACCTGGAACAATTCTTACTTGCCACAGATGAGTAGGCAAGTTACTGTTTACAAACCTCTTTAGTATGGAACACTCGCGCATGTAGACTGAAAGCCTTCTCCCTGATATACAAACTTGCAAGGAGGCTTTCTTCATGCTGGAGCATTCAAAGACAAGATTCTCCTTGCATGCACACACGTCATTTTACTCTGCTGTGGCACAGCACAGGGAAATCTTACTACGTTTTTGCGGTATGTGTGGATCAGTATTAAATGAATGAAGCTTTGTTGGAGGTTTTTAAGCAGAGGCTAGATGGCTATCTGACAACAATGCTGATTGTGTGAACTTAGACAGATCATGAAAGGGAGGGTGGGAAGGGATGAGCTGGTGCTTGACTATTGTGGCCCTTTCCTACATGCCCAGAGTAATGCCGATCATCACCTTGGGGTCAGGAAGGAATTTTTCTCCAGGCCAGATTGGCCCAGGGATTCTGGATTTTTTTGCCTTCCTCGGGGCATAGAGGGAGTGGTCATTGGGGAAGTGGGGGGGTACATAGTTGTGAATTTCCTGCATTGTGCAGGAAATTGTGTGTGGACTAGATGATCCTTGAGATCCCTTCCAGCTCTATGTTCCTATAAAACAGGGAATTGATTGGCATTTTCTTTCCTAGCCAACATGTCTACAAAAATTGATTTTGAGTTAGGGAAGAGCTCATCTTTTCCTCTGAATGATTGCTTGTACCTCTTTAAGGAAGGCCTTTATTTACTTTCTTATATTAAAACATTTATATCCCTCTTTACCCCATGGCTCAAGGCTGCTTTACATACATGGTGAAGTCAGCGTTGTGTAGTGGTTAGAGTGTTGGACTAGGATCTGGGAGGCTGAGAATGGTTGACTGGCCCAAGGTCACTCCTTCCATCCTTACTCACCCATGGGCCAGTCACCCACTCTCAGCCTAGCCTACTTCACAGGGTTGTTGTGAGGATACTGTAGAGAAGAGGAGAATAATGTAAGCTGCTTTGGGTCCCCATTAGGGTAAAAGAAAAAGCTAAGTATCTCCCTTATAAATAAAAGCCGAATGGTGCTGGCACTTCTCTAGAACATTCCACACGCTCCAAAATCAGTTCGCTCTCTGATCTGTCATTTAGAATTAGCACTTCTTTTGTCTTTTCTAGATTGAAAGTCATTCTGTTACTTTAGGAACATAAAATATGACTATGGACATTTTTACTTGGCATGAAATTATCACAACTAGCATATTAAAAATATAGTGTATCCAAACAATTATTACAAACAGAATACCCACCCACATGCAAAAACAAAACTGAAACCTTTTTATTTTCTTCTGACAATAGCACCTCCTAAAGGAAGAAATGCATCTTGCATTGGAGAGTTCAGTTTGTAACCTAGGACTGGCTTGTCCTCAGTGCACAGAAATTAGATCAATCTGATACCATATATATATATTTTAGAAATGATTTGGAAAATATTTGGAAGCAGGAACAAGAAAGGGAAAAAAACTAAACCTAACAAAGAACTCCAAAACCAAACAAAGGTTAGTGGAAAGGAGGGCCAATATTAAAACCTTTTCATAAAAAGAGGTATATAAAACATATATAGGGGCCCAATTACAACCAATATATATAAAACTTTTTTAGCCCTGGTTATGGTTATGTTTTATATATATCGGTTGTAATTGGGCCCCTATATATGTTTTAATTTGTTATTATTAATAAATACATGTACCTCTTTTTATGAAAAGGTTTTAATATTGGCCCTCCTTTCCACTAACCTTTGTTTGGTTTTGGAAAATATTTGAACACCTTGTCTTAAAATATTTTATTCATCATGTTAAAATAAAATGTTCCATAATCATTTTTTCTTTTCTTTTTTCAATTTTTCGGAAAAAAACAAAAAATCTTCAGGGGAAAAACCGGAAAAAACCCGTTTTTCCCCCCGAATTTTTCCGGGCCTTCACATCTCTAATTGACACTGAGTGTCCAAGGCCGGGGCACCCGCCCAGAGCCTCTTTCTAGAGGCCGTTGTATTTATTTCCACAACGGGCCTTTTTCCTAGTAAATGAAATAAAACAAAATATTCCATCTGGAGTCTCAGCAAGAAATAATAATATAATTATATATAATAGAATAACATACATAAAAATGGGCCACCAACAATAAAGCCCCAAACTAATAAAATTCAGTATTTTGTAAGCCACTGTTGTGAATGCCATGGCTTAAGAATAGATCAGCAATTACTAATAGAAGGTGGAATCTGGCCACTTATTGGTAATCCCTGCCCCCAAAGCAGTCTGACTGTCCTTGACCAAAATCAGGGCCTTTTTGGCTCTGGCCCCAACCTGGTGGCGCACTCTGTCTAGTGAGACAAGGGCCCTGCAGGACTTAGCTCAGTTCCACAGGGCCTGTAAGACTGAGATATTCCACCAGGCCTATGGTTGAGGACAGTGATGGTAAGAGAGACCAGCTGGCCTCCCTCCTTCTCCCCCCTCTTTCTCTGTTTTCCCTTTCTCCCAACCTGTTTGCTTTATTTTTCTTTATCATGTTCCTTCCCTGATCTTGCCCTCCTTCTTTTTCCTCCTTCCTTGCCTTTTTAGGGATTGGTTTTTCCATTCACTGTGGGCCGCGAATCTTCTATGTTGACTACCTTTTTACTTGCGATGGATTGTTGGGGCACCATCTGATTGACTTGTAGGTTTTTAACTGTAATGTTAAAATATTTTAAGATGTAAAATGTTGACTTTATTGTATCTATCCAATTTGTTTTTCTCCCCTGCCGCTTCGGGATTGTGCACCTGTTGAAGGGAGAGGCCTGCCCATTTCTGTTTGTGTTCTTCTGAAAGGGACCGAGGACGCAAATGGCGCAGGGGAAGGAGCGGGATATAAGTTGAATACATTAAAAAAGACACAAAAGAACAGAGCAACCCTTAGCCTGGGTCCTTGTCTAAACACATTCTTGATGTTGACTCAATTCTTAGTAGGTCCTGTGATTTCAGAACAGAGCTTCGCCCCAACATCTAACTCTCACTGTCTTTTTTTGCGATGGCAGATTGAAGCAGATCCGCTCCTCCGGAACACCATCTCCCGCCTGTCTTACCGGAGCTTCTCCCGCATGGCTGAGGCCTTCACCTCCCGCTCCCCATCTGGAATCCCCAGTCCGCAGCTGGCCAAGCTAGCCCTCACCATGGAGCTGACGCGGAAAGTGGCCGGCATCAACAGCCACGCCGTGCACACCCTCATGGGCTACAGTCTGCAGTATATGGATATGTTTGTGCCGTGGCTACAGCAGCAAGGTGGCTGGGTACGTGGAGAAACCCACAGGCCTAAATTTTAAAGCCTGAGCTATAGCTTAAAAGCCAGCAAACATGAAACCATTTGAAACAGAAGACCAGGCAAAATTTTGCCCGATATAAACTTGCTCGGTGCACGGATCTAGACAAATATGGCCTTCTCACGCAGAAGAACCACCTGTTTACAAACTGTGTAAATCGGGCCATTCGTTCTTTATGTTCCGGTTCTGTGTCAACAAAGTGGAACTAGGCGACTTGCTTTACAGGGTATTGTAAGGAAAAATCATATCAAGCAAGGGCAAACAACCTTTTTGGCCTGAGCGCCCCCCAAAGTGCACCATCTACCTGTAAAAATGATGGTGTGCCAGAAACAAAATTGGAGGGCAGGGAGACCAAGCGAAGCCTCAGCATTGGTGGCAGCATCTAAGGAATTTGCCTTGGCCTCAGCTTGTGGCTGTTTAAGTCGGAGAGGCAAAGACAGGTGTGATTCTAGCCGTGCTGAAGCTGTCTTGGTTGCTTGGTCTGGCCCTGGGTGCCAAGCCTAATGTTCTAGTATGCTTAGGGTTGCCAGGTCCCATCGTTGCACCGGCAGGGGGATTTGGGGAGCTTCCACAGGGCCTGTAAGACTGAGATATTCCACCAGGCCTATGGTTGAGGACAGTGATGGTAAGAGAGACCAGCTGGCCTCCCTCCTTCTCCCCCCTCTTTCTCTGTTTTCCCTTTCTCCCAACCTGTTTGCTTTATTTTTCTTTATCATGTTCCTTCCCTGATCTTGCCATCCTTCTTTTTCCTCCTTCCTTGCCTTTTTAGGGATTGGTTTTTCCATTCACTGTGGGCCGCGAATCTTCTATGTTGACTACCTTTTTACTTGCGATGGATTGTTGGGGCACCATCTGATTGACTTGTAGGTTTTTAACTGTAATGTTAAAATATTTTAAGATGTAAAATGTTGACTTTATTGTATATTTAACAGCTGGAAGCTGCCCTGAGGCCTGTTTGCGGGGGAAGGAGCGGGATATAAGTTGAATACATTAAAAAAGACACAAAAGAACAGAGCAACCCTTAGCCTGGGTCCTTGTCTAAACACATTCTTGATGTTGACTCAATTCTTAGTAGGTCCTGTGATTTCAGAACAGAGCTTCGCCCCAACATCTAACTCTCACTGTCTTTTTTTGCAATGGCAGATTGAAGCAGATCCGCTGCTCCGGAACACCATCTCCCGCCTGTCCTACCGCAGCTTCTCCCGCATGGCTGAGGCCTTCACCTCCCGCTCCCCATCTGGAATCCCCAGTCCGCAGCTGGCCAAGCTAGCCCTCACCATGGAGCTGACGCGGAAAGTGGCCGGCATCAACAGCCACGCCGTGCACACCCTCATGGGCTACAGTCTGCAGTATATGGATATGTTTGTGCCGTGGCTACAGCAGCAAGGTGGCTGGGTACGTGGAGAAACCCACAGGCCTAAATTTTAAAGCCTGAGCTATAGCTTAAAAGCCAGCAAACATGAAACCATTTGAAACAGAAGACCAGGCAAAATTTTGCCCGATATAAACTTGCTCGGTGCACGGATCTAGACAAATATGGCCTTCTCACACAGAAGAACCACCTGTTTACAAACTGTGTAAATTGGGCCATTCGTTCTTTATGTTCCGGTTCTGTGTCAACAAAGTGGAACTAGGCGACTTGCTTTACAGGGTATTGTAAGGAAAAATCATATCAAGCAAGGGCAAACAACCTTTTTGGCCTAAGCGCCCCCCAAAATGCACCATCTACCTGTAAAAATGATGGTGTGCCAGAAACAAAATTGGAGGGGGGGGGGGAGAGGGTTGGACTTGTCCAGATACCGCTGGACCAAGCAAAGTCTCAGCAGTGGTGGCAGCATCTCAGGAACTTGCCTTGGCCTCAGCTTGTGGCTGTTTTAAGTCGGGGAGGCAAAGACAGGTGTAAGCCTTGCCTGTTGCCTTCTCCTGCACTGTTGATTCCAGCCATGCTGAAGCTGCCTTGGTTGCTTGGTCTGGCCCTGGGTGCCAAGCCTAATGTTCTAGTATGCTTAGGGTTGCCAGGTCCCATCGTTGCACCGGCAGGGGGATTTGGGGAGCGTTCTGGGATGTCCCGGACACCATGACATCACCCGGAAGTGACATCACATTAGGGACGTCACACAGTGACGCTCTGGTTTTTGGGCAAAACGCTGATAAAACCAGTGTTAAACCATAGAGTTTCTCCTCAGAGTAGAGCGTCACTGTGTGATGTGCCCGATATGGTGATGTCACTTCTGGGTGACATCATCGCATTGGGGACATCATGCAGCGACATTGCTGTTTGGGGGCAGAGTTTCCTCCACCAGTCACCTGACTAGTAGTGGGCTGGAGTCCCAAACACCGGGGGAACCCTGCCGGGGACTGGCAACCCTAGGTATGCTGCTGTCTACACATACCCGGGTATGGTGATGTTAAAAGGCACTTTGAAAAACTGACGATCCTAATGTTTGTTTCTTTTCTTTGTAGGAGAATATTGTGGCCCAGGATGAGATTTTTGACCGGCAACTTGATTAATCCTACCACAGTAGGGATGGGAGTGGGGTCTGTATGCTCCCAGTCCTACCACCACCAGCAAATGCCAGTGTTCCTAGGACTGGAACCCTAGGGAGAGTACACACTTGGGACTTGTTCTGAAAACTAACCCCTGGGGGTATCTTTTTTTTAAAAAAATCTTTCGTAAAAGTCCCTTTATTTCTCTCCCCACCGGGAGACATACCAAGAAGGTATCCTAACACTGTGAGCGATTTTTTTAATTTGTGGGGCTAAAGTGGTAAATCTTGGGATCTAGAATTTTACACTAACTGATGAGCAGTGTATAATCCTAACAAGAGTTATACCCACATTGACATCAGTGGATTCAAGAGATAACTCTGTTTAGGAATGCAGCCAACTTGAAGCAATTTCACTACTTTGCGTAATTGTGAGCTTTGTTTTGTTGCAGTTCTGTTCTTTCAGCATTTAAGAGATCTGTTTTTTAAATTTGTCATTCTCTTGGGAAAGGAGATCTGTAACTCTTAGGGGGGGAAAGGGAGAAAGCAGTAAGCAAAAACCAAGAGAAAAGCTGACATGATTTTAACAAATCTTTTTTTATAAACCAACTTACTATGTGGTTGTTTAGAAGCACTTTTAAAGAAAATTTCTATATTGATGAGAACTAGCAACTTGGTTGCGTTTTTAAAATGAAAGGATACCTGTGAATTATGGGACAGAGTCATCTCCTGGCTCTATTAAATCATTCTTTGTGCCTTATACCTGAGAACTGAACATGATCCTGTGCACATTTCCTGAAAAGGAAGTGTAACTGATCTTGGTGTATAGAACGTGTGCATTAGGGCTGTACCCTTTCTGTATAAAGTACTGTAAAGCTAACTGCAGTTAAATGGGACTGTCTGCCAGGAAAATCTGCTCAGGCTTGGGTTGCTTTTTGTGAACAGAACGTAACCACAAACTCAGGGAGTATGTGTGTGTGTTTACATAGAACACTAGTAGAGCCTTGGAAAGACTGTGATTTTTGTTTGTTTGTTAAAGAAGATTTTATTAAAAATATTTAAACATTAAAAGCCTTTTGTATCTGTATCTTTGTTTTCTTCTGGTGTTCCTCTGTGTCACAGGCCCATGGGCCAAATGCAGGCCACAGGACCCTGGACGGTGGCCTGCCTGAGATTTTTATCAGATTTTTATAATTTTTTTAAAGCTGTTCAGATTTAATTCTATGACAATTACATCATGAAATGGGGGTGTTATGAAGAATTACTGACAAAAGGTAAATAGGAGTGAATGAAGCCTTCGCTGCACTTAACTTAAGTGAGATAATCTTTAGCCAAGCACGGGCCCCTTCAGCTCTGACATTCTGTTATGATTTTGCCCCCTGGGAGTTACTGAGCGGAGAAAACTGGAGATGGATACACCACACAGCCCCATAGATCACATACCCTTGCTGTAGTATGTAATATCTTTCCAGGCTTCTTCCAGATCATCTCCATATAATTTGACACACCCATTTTGCCTCAGCTTTAAGAATCAGCATCAGTGACCACAACACCCAGTCTTGTTACTATCACATCCCGTACCCCATCCTTTCTGCTGCTGTGCAGACAGAAATGACAACAGTAGGATCCATGCATAGATCCCTGTGGCAGGAGGACCCCACTCCACACAAACACACTACAAAGAATCATCTGTTGTCAGATTTTCCTGGTGGAGATTTCTGAGGAAGAAGAGTAGTATTGGTGGGGGAGCTGGTCATCTCTGAAGGAGTCATCAGTCAGCAAGAGTCTTCAATCAGCACGAGGGCTAATTCCTGTTACTGCTTAATGTGAGCTGCCTTGAAGCCTCATATCAGAGCAAAAAGGATACGCATATTTTAAGGACACAGGCCCCGGTCACACCGGCTGGATATC